TATATATATATATATATATATATATACTGAAGTCACCAAAATACGAAAATTAGCTGTGGGATACTCAGTGAAGATATAATCAATCGTCTCATCTCTTTGGTCAAAAACTAGCGTCTCAACGTCCTGAGGACCATAGAGAGTGAAGGTGAAACTCATCCTGTGTGGTATATATATATATATATATATATATATATATATATATATATATATATATATATATATATATATATATATATATATATATATATATATATTTCTTGTAAAAATACAGAGTGAAGGTGGAAACTGATCCTGTGTGCAAGCGCCACGCAGAAATATATATATATATATATATATATATATATATATATATATATATATATATATATATATATACACTTTTCTTGTAAAATACAGAGTCAAGGTGAAACTGATCCTGTGTGCAAGTGCCACTTAGGTAGGACGTTGGGACGCTAGTTTTTGACCAAAGTGATGAGACGATTGATTATATCCTCTCTCAATATCCCGCAGCTAGTTTTCGTATTTTGGTGACTTCAGTATTCATTACGAAGAGCGGTATGTCCACTCGAACAAAGCAAATGAAAACGGCAGATATAGCCGGAACTTCTCTGTTGCCTACGAACTGACACAGATCATTAATGAGCCTAGCAGTACCCCCGATGTAAAAGGACATCAGGTGAACATCCTTGACCTCTTCCTCAATCCTTTTCTTATAAAATACTCCGCTGAAGTGTTACCCCTCGCCCCTGGGTAATTCAGTCCATTCACTAGTCGTGATCAAAGTACCTAAGACGCGAGCTCATCATTACTATGAGGCGATAGGAAAAAGGAAAAAAAAATACTATAAGACTGATTAGTGACCTTGGTTAATATTTATGGTAGGTCATATGCAAAATAGGCTCAATTTTTGGTCTGGAATGCCCTAATGCACATTGTGTTTGATTATTGATCTATTATTCTTATTCTATTCTTGATTGACTTGGCACGATCGATTCCAAAAGCGATTGGAAATTGAACCTCATATTTTCATGTCTAGTGCCGAGTCGTTTTTAAATGGGTAGATCAAAGAATAATCATTTTCTTTCTTTTGTAATTTTAAATGTCCTTGTTTAATACCCGTTACATTATATATCCGATGTAATCATAGAGTTTTAAAATTAACTGTATTATCGATTTTTTTTGGGGGGTGGGGTTCTGTTGTCTTATTAATCATCAAAAACTTTCCAACAAAATATGCCTTCATTTCCTTGAGTATTTCCTGTTCTGGGTATGACGATAAACTACATCTGGCATCAAGGCTTCTGACTGGGAGAACCATCACTTCACCGCTGTTGTTCACAGGTCCACTCTGACCATTGTCGTGGCACCTGTTGGAAAAAACCGCGAACCATTAATGAAAAATCAACAGTACATTTTACAATAAAAATTACCAATAATAATAGTTTTTATATCAAAATCTTATTATAATTGTGCTTGTTCCTTTCTTAGTTACTTAGTTCATCCGTCCGTTACACTCTTCCGTACTGATTTGTAATCGGCATCTCATTGGCGGCCATATTCAAAGAAACACCATCACCCACACCCTCACACCCTCCAAAGCAGTTAGAGGAGCAATGGAGGATGTCTATAGCAGTTCTTTTTTTATCAATTTTTTCTTAGTTTTTTGTATATATTATGTAATTCTTTTGTGTACATACCTCGACTTTTTCGCCGACAAAAAGCATGATGAAAAAGGCCCCAAAATTAATAAAAACAATTTTTTTAACGTCAAAATGTTTGTTATTATTATAAACCTTTCTAGCACGTTTGAAATTTTGGTAAAATTTGATTCGTTTTTTTTAAGTTAGCGACCCGGGCCATATTTGTGTTTTTACGCCTATTTTTCAGGTGAAGCACACATTGATTTAAAAATTCTTGCAAAAATCAAATAATTGTCGGATTTTAATGAAACTTTCAGAACTTATTCGGAAATGAATGATATTATTTTGCGTTCTTTGTTTTTGAAAATTTTAGTAAACATATTTTTTATATATGTTAAAATTAATGTTTAAAAAATAATAAGAATTTCAAATAGAAATTTAATAAGAACGATTATTTTTTTTTGAATTAGGTTCTAATAACATAATTGAATTTAAAAATAGTAAATGGATTTTAGATTCGCATTTGAAATTAATAACTTTTAAAAACTTATTCGGAAATGCTGGAAATTATTTTTGCCTTCTTTGCTTTTGAGAAAATTGTAAAAGAATTACTGGAATTAGATCTCAGTTCTCCGATTAACAATTCCGAACAAATAACTATTCACCACCTATATATCTAGTCTTACAGCACGTGGTATTCCCAAGTGGTCACACATGAAGGTACCGACGAGCAACGACTTGGCTTAAGATCGGTGACCTTTCGGGAACCGGTAATCTCAACGCGATATGGCCGTAATCTATCTGAGGAGAAACAGACGAGTGAAAAAAAGTTAAGTGTTATATATCCTTCATGATGCCGCTGATGAAATACAATATAATTATAATCTGAAAATTACCATGACTTCTTGGCAAATAAAATCAGCGATCTTCCCATTGTTTCTCTGGGCTTTGAATTCAGCGAAGTCTTTCTCCCTTCAAGATGAAGGCTCTCCACAGATGAGGCTCCCCAGAGATTTAGTTGCTTAACTGTGAATTTCCAGGACTACTTCTGAAGAAAATACATGGCTTTCTCATTAACTGATCCAGTGCTTTGAATTCAATTGAGTCCGTCTATTATCTTTCAAGCTACAAAACCAAGTCTACACAGCTATTTACCCGATCGTTTATAAAAAAGAAGAAATGGTTTTCTGCCTATCGCAACGAGTCCAAAGTGATCCCAAATGACTAGGACGGCATTTGCCGATTAAATTTTTCACGGTGATAACTCAGCCACACATTCGATGGCCTGATTAAAGGTATGATAAAAAGTAATAATAATAACAATAAATTAAATTAAAATAATTATGAATTAAAAATGAATGATAAAGAAGGTAATCGAATTTTGAATTCTAAGCTTCTATCTTCTTAATTTAAAGTTCGTGTTATGGGGTGCATTTAAAATTAATTTCATAAAATTCATATCGTTCTTTTTATAATGTGAATTCTTTTTTTATTGATTATCAGTATTCCGCAAGTGAGTCAAAATAAAAATAAAATAGCAAGCCAGTCGCAAGTAATAATCTCATGACGATAAGGATATTGGACTTTCAACTTAGACCATTCATCTGTAAATATATCTTACAGGCGCCAAATACTCCGATTTTATCAGCTTCAATCTCATCTCGCCATATTCTTAGAAGTCGATCTTTGATGAGAACGTGATGAGATATTTATCGGCCTTAAACTGAATAATTCATTTTCAGTATCTTTATGGTTTCCGAAGTTTACAATTAGCATTTTGAAAGGCATTGGCTCTGGGGTTGGGGTATAAACAATTCCTCGAAATCAGATGCATACGAAATAATACGGGTGCTATATTCTCATGCGGTTAAATAAAAAAAAACTGTTTTTTTATTCGCTTTCATCAAAATTGTTTGAAAATCGATAATCTATTCATTCAAGTATAAACATTAAATTTGATGCCCTTTTATTTAATGTGCTCTGTTTCGTAAATGGCTAGAGATTGTGAATGAGAACATCATTATTCCTCGACCTGGGTAAAATATGTCTGCATATACTTATATAAGTATATGTTTGTTTAACACACACACACACACACACACACACACACACACCCTCTCTCTCTCTCTCGGTCTCTCTCTCTCTCTCTCTTTCTCACACATACAGAGGAAAACACGCACGGACTTATATACATAGGGGGCGACAGAAATATTTTCCACGTATAGTGGCCAGAAATACTTCCCATATAATGGTTAGAAATTTAGTAGCAATGGTATCTTCGTCTAAATAATGTCATACCCTTATATGGGAGGTATTTCCGCCGTACACTTTATTAATGCGAAAGATAGTTTATATATATATATATATATATATATATATATATATATATATATATATATATATTGTGTGTGTGTAAAAACATTAGTAAATACTAATACATCTACAACAGATCCTAGATAAAAAAAATTAGGTTAATCATATACTACACTAAATCTAGTATATCCAACTTAATTATTCGCAATGATTCTTCCCCCTCCGCGTTAGCGATTTGCAAAAACCAACATAGTTTACAAATTCAAGTGCCCTTTGTGAGATTGTATTTCCAATGGATTAAATAATATTTATGTTGGTCACACCACAAACTCGCTTTCACGACGCTTGACGCTACATTTTAATGAAAACTCTAACATTTTTAGGCATTTCAAACAACATACCTGGCCGCGTACAAAATTCCGTAAAATCCTCGTTGAAAAAATAACTATACTTAAACATGAAAACAATAAACAAAAACAAAAATTTCTTGAAGCTATATACATAAAACAGTTGAAATATAACCTGAACAAAATAAATTATGAAATCTCCACAAATATTCAAATAATGCCTATAATTGATAACAGAAGCCTTTGGTTTATACGAACGGCTTCCCATACTTAATATTTCTCGTTTTCACTCTCGTGTAGTCTTGTGTGACATCACGACCTGCGATGCAATTTTCACTTCCGCCTTTCGTATACACGAACTTGTCGTTGCTTTGAAATTTTTCATGCAACAAGAGCAGACTATCATTATTGTTCTGTCCGTGTATTGTTTGATATATTGAAATGTAATTGTCATCTTTGATAATGGCTTATGTAAGCCGAAAGCTTAGATAGGATTAAAACATGTAATAATGATAATGTTATTAAGCTTATCAAACAAAATGAAAGGAACTTACTTAAAATAAATAGACAAAACTTGTCTATATTATTTAATGAAACATGTATCAATATATATATAGATATGACAGAGAATGAAGAAAAAAATAAAAACGAATTTATTTATAAGTTATGTCGGCATCTATTTTTGTCCCAGGGAGAAAACAAATAGATAGATAGATAGATAGATAGATAGATAGATAGATAGATAGATAGATATAAACTGACTGGTATAGATAGATCATTGTTCGAGGAATTATGTATCTGTATATTAGATACCTCCGAAATTTTTCTAAAAAAGAACATTGCATGAAGAAAAAACTCCAAACTTGATAAAAGCCAAGTTTTATCGTCAAAATGTTTTTGCTATTTTTAAGAGGAAAGACCAAATTATGTTTTTACTATTTTATTTAATTTCTGAATCCTTTCTGGCATGTTCGAAATTTTGGTTAGAAATCTTGTTTTTCTTACGTCAATTGGGGCCAAAGTTTAGTATGGGAAATTTAGCGACTTTTTGCTATAAAAATAACGATGTTTTGGACTTGCAAACATTAAATAATTATCGGATTTTAATTAAAATTTTAGAATATCTGCAAGAATTTTTTTTTTTGGCATATATATAAATATATATATATATATATATATATATATATATATATATATATATATATATATATTTACATCTGTTACCCTCCACTTAAATTTTTGAAATTTCGAGAAATTAAATTTTCAGATTATTTTCATTTATATTATTTAAAGGCTGAATTCCAATTTCACTTACAAGGCTTGGGTCAATCCGTGGTATGTTTTTCAAGCACTTTCCAAAGATGCCGCACACTGGGATCGACCCCCTCCAATCCGATAACATTTTGAAGTCTCCTTCCTGACAAATCGACATTGATGAGATTCGAAACCGGGTTTCATCGTCAGAATGCGAACGTTCAGCCACGTACCCTTCCGCTCGGAATGAGTCTTCATTCACTGATAGAATAAGACTCCGCATAGTTTATAACAGGTTTGGTTCTAAAGATTACTGGCGGCTCTGTGTGAGTGTGATAAGCAAGAGAAAATCTTCAGTCCGTTTTCTCTTTAATCACTATGAAATATTTGCCATGTGCTGCAGACGAAGCACAATGCTTTGATCCAAAATATCGTCCAAATCCAATCTTGAATCTCCAGGATTATCTTTGCCTGATTTGACTACATAAAACAGAATTAGTACTCACTTGTTACTAGTCTGTAAGACTCTAAGGAAAAATATACAAACAATACGTTGAGCGAAGAAGACTTTAATCACATGAGATGATAGATTGAGAATACACTGGTGTTGTAGCATACTTACGGACGATAATGTGTATGTCGCCATTCACATAAATAGAGTAGTAAATACTGTATGTTGGTTTGCAGTTGAAGATTCGTCTCGGGAAACATCTACGGAGAATTTTTGGCGAAGCCTACGGGCTCAGGTAACCCACATTAAATTCGGGCTTGTGTCACATCTGACTGCGTGGGACGGTTGGTAGATATCTTGCAGTTGGATATTCGTCTCCAGCTGTGCTGGTCAAACTCTTTGTCTCCGGGAAGAGATGATCCCCAGACGAGGCTATGTCGAAGGGCAGAGTCCTGTCTCGGGAAACAGCTACCCGACCACGGTTTATAAGGTATCTATGGGGAATTTTTGACCGAGCCTACGTGCTCAGATACCCCACACTAAATTCGGACTTGTACCACATCTGACCGCGTGGGGCGCTTGGTAGATATCCTGCAGTTGGCAATTCATTGTGGAATTCACTTCACTCACCTCCAGCAGTAGACTACTTCTTCTACGTGCCGCTGGCGAATCTTATATGTGTTGTTCTTGTCCTAAGTATAATCGTTCATTGCCAACCTTCGTGCGATTATTCTACTAAGTAACTTTCCCTGGGTTACAACAAATACTTAATTGTGAAAATCGATACGCCTTTAGGGGCTACATTTTTCCTCTGATCCCAGAGTAAACGTTCTACTCATACCGGAAGGATGAGTCCACGTTTCAGTAATAAGTGTAGAGAAGGTTAGTCAGTCTTTCTACACAACAGAGGGATATGAACATAACTTCATTCATGGTTTCTGCTATTATCTCCAAGCTAAACCCTAAAAGGCTTTCGGACTTGACGTTATCCCTTCAATTGTTCTTGTGTTATTGAAATCGGCCATGTTTTCTCCAAACTCTGAGAAATATGCTTTGCTTTCCCCTGTGTGATTATTGGGCCTTGAGTAAGGTGATGAATAATGTAGAAAAATAAAGGGTATAACTAAAATAAGGGATTTCCAGAAGAATTTAAGGTTTCAAGACAGAAAAAAGCATTGCGCGGACGGAAAGGTATAGATGCAAATCAACATAGGTTTAATTGAAAAGGGGTGTCGAAAAAAAAAGGGACTGAAATTAATTACTGCATCAGTTCAAGATCAGGATATTAGTATAAATAATATCAGGAAGCATTTACAAAAAAAGAAAAGTTCTTTGCAAATTACTTAGGTACATTATTTACATTATTCGGACTATTGTCCTCATCTTTGTCGCCATATTTGTTACAACGTTTTGGCCGTTGTACGCTCTGGCCTTCTTCAGGTGGTTGGAATGTCGAACTGAACCCTTTATTTCGCTCACAAGGGTAGACTTTTCTAGTTCCACGTGTTAAGGGTGAAAGTTATCCACTAATTTATCTGCCTAAATTTCTGAGATGATGTATTATGTACATTATTTACATTATTCGGACTATTGTCCTCATCTTTGTCGCCATATCTATTACAACGTTTAATACGTTCCGGATTCTTCAGGTGGTTGGAATGTCGAACTGAACTCTTTATTTCGATCACTGCGGTAGACTTTTCTAGTTCTACTTGCCATGTTTAATGGATGTCAGTTATCAGTTATCTCCTGTTAATTTCCCTCTGAAAGTTCCCCACTGACTTAACCGGGTATTGAACTCACACTCTTTGGGTCCTGTCAACGTGGGTAATTCAATAAAACTGTGGCACACATTGCGAATGAGTGCTAAAACTTCAGCTCAGAATTACTTATAAAAGGTGGAGACATGATCAAATAACAAAAAAACATCCATTGAATATTCTGTGAGAGGCAGAATTTTCAGATAGGGAAAAGGATTGTTAAAATCATAAACCTGTGAAAGTCCTTGAATCAGAAATATATATTTTTTTAATCGGTATCACCCCATGCAAGGCATTAAAGATACAAAGACACAAGGGGTTACAGGTTATGGAGGAAAAGAAATATTGATTATGAGCAGAAAGAGAAGGGCAGTAGATAACGATTGGCATTGCATTTAAATTCTTGGAGATTAAAGATGGCTAAAATCATACAGCCAGGAGTGAGATCCACAAGCGAGTAGTGCGAGAAAAGAAATTGTTAACATAGTCATTTTGAGAGGGGGAGTTTTCAGAGAGAGAGAGAGAGAGAGATAGAGAGAGAGAGAAGTAATTGTACAACCATGAATTTGAGAACGTCCTCTGGGAAATATGCAAGATTTTGTAAACAGTTAAGAAACTTATTTTTAAGGCTATAATAAAGTTTTTAGTAATAAAAGTCTTATTAACTAATAGCTGGGGAAGAAGAGATGGATTCGTACCTTTTTCAAGATTATCTGCACGAAAGTGAAATATAACCAACCAGAACTGGAATTTGAACTCGGTTCTGCATTTAACAATTCCAAGGTAATATCGATTACCCACTGTCAAATCTAAGCTTACAGCACCTAATATTCTCAAGCGGTCAGCTATCTTTGAACTGACCCGACTGGGAGTTGCATATCTTATGTGATCGTATGGTGTTTCGATGTAATAATGCCGTAATCCCCCGTCAACAAAGATGAGATATCAACACTTTGAACATGTGGGGAATTTGATAAAACTATGGTACGCATAGGTTTGGCTTAGAATTACTATAAAAGGTGGAGACATGATCAAGTTCCCAACACCATCCAGTGTAAATAAGCGTGTAAACCCCCTCCCTCGTGGGGCTATTCACATTCGGATACTTGCCGGGCAGAGGGATCCGTCCCTGCGCTGGTAGTGTCATAGCTATGACTAGCTTAGATCAGCTCTGACCAGCTTGGACAAGCTATGACCAGCTTGGACAAGCTATGACCAGCTAAGACCAGCGGCCCGAGTGAACCCACGTTAAAAACCGACTTTGTGTTACAACCTGACTCAGTGCAAATTTTGGAAGAGGTGGAGTTATCAGATAGAGAAAAGGAATGGTAAAATCATAAAGCTGTGAAAGTCTTCGATTCAGTAATATGCAATATGTTGTGGAAGCCTTCAATAGAAACAGATAGGAAACTGAGGCGTAACAATCCTGATACATTGTGTGGAAGATAGAATAGCGAAAGAATGGTTATTGATCATCGATCCATCCGGCCCTTTTGATCCAAGAATAAAGCAAAACGAAGAAAAGAAATTAATCATCTATGACCCATTGTAGTTTGAATCCGCAAAGCCCTAGAAATTGAAGGTCACCAGTTTTTTGTATCTTGACTGACAGAATAGAGATATGAATAAAGGAAATTGGTATTGGTTATCTAGTGGAACTGTTAAGGAAAGGAAGTCTATTAGAAAAGGCAAGAATCATCTGGAAAGTAATAAATGTGTAATATCAGAAGAGGATTGCTTGATACCAAAGGCTGCTGAGTATGGCGCGCTATCTGTACGTTAATTACCAGATATTAAGATATATATCTTACTGCATTTGGATTTATTTTTAAGTAGCTTAAAATCCGCACGTTTTAAGTTATCTACTGTTGAGATCTAATGGGACCTCCATCCCCCAAAAAAGAGGGACTTTTGGTCCAGCTTAGAAAAGAACAATGACAATTTTGAAAAAATAAATTTGAATGACTCAATTTTCTCCATGAGACTTCAAAACCTTACTTTAATTCTGATTCAAGATACAAGCCCAATCGCGGTCAAAAGGCAGATATGGGTCGAAAGTCTGATTTGGGTCGAAAGTCTGATTTGGGTCGTAAGTCTGATTTGGGTCGTAAGTCTGATTTGGGTCGAAAGTCAGATTTGGGTCGAAAGTCTGATTTTGGTCGAAAGTCAGATTTGGGTCGTAAATCTGATTTTGGTCTGATTTGGGTCGAAAGTCAGATTTGGGTCGAAAGTTAGATTTGGGTCGAAAGTCTGATTTGGTCTGATTTGGTCGAAATCTGATTTGGGTCGTAAATCTGATTTGGGTCGAAAGTCT